CAATCATCGTTTGATTTTTGATATATGTGCAGAAGGTTTACGACCACCAATATTACCTGGAATGCCTGATGATTATGCGCAAATGATGCAGAGGTGTTGGGATGTGGATCCATTAAAAAGACCAACTAAGACGAATCTGTGAGACACTTAATGGTACCAGATAAATAAAGATGGCCTTTTACAAAGCTCAAGGGCTTCGATTTATTTCAGTCGTTCACATTTATTGATCGATTGCAAACTCGCTTTGCTTTACTTGCAAAACAACTTAAGTAGTTTGTTTGACGGCCTTACGTTTACGATTACAATAACACTACCAATATTTCCGATTAACCTTTGGACAATACTTCATTAATACCCACTGTTATCCTAACCTTTGCTTGCTCACTAAAGCAAACCACGTTACTAATTGCTGTTGACACCCACTAGCTAACCAACGTTAATCCTAACCTTATTTACTCACCAAAGCAACTAACTCCATAGTTGTTACTTTTTACCAAGGAACTACACTTGTTGCTTTTATCAAAGCGCTTTAAACAAAAAAAATAAAACCAACATTTTTATTATAAAAGCTTATTAACGTTTAATAAAAAATAACGATTCTATCACAGAGTTTTATTTTATCAGAATGTTAATTATCTATGCTTTTCCTCCAATGATTTTATCTACCCTGATCATATATCTCATCATTAGAGATGTGTCATTCATAGTAACCGTGATTTTTTTTCGTACATAGTGTATATATATCATAGGGAGGGAAATATCATAAATGCGCATATAATAATAAGAAAGTAAATGGCATATTTAATTTTTTTTTAGAAATGTTTATTAATAAGTAAATGTCTATAAAAAATATATCTAAAACCTTATGCATAGCACGCTATGCGTAAACACACTATGCGCGGCATATCTCTACACGTTATTAATATTAATATAAGAAATGCTCGAGTTTAGTAGTAAATGAATATGTGTGAACTGAATTGTATTCAGCAAAGGAAAAAACTTGGCTACTGATGAAAACACAAAGGAGAAATTGGGATACACAAGAAAATGTAAAAAAGACCTGGAATATATATTTATAAGTTTTTTTTTTATGAGCCTTTATATTTTATTAGCTCTAAAGCAATTTTACTTGCGTCATTTATGACTTAATGGCAGCGAATTTGACGTAATATTTTTACAAGGCATCATTTGATATTAAAAAAGCGTTCGACATCTTCTCTCTGTAGAAAATCAACCAGCCCATGAGCACAGGAGATTTTGAAAAATCCTTTTACGTTAGTAGTGTCTAAGCCACAGGAAAACAAGTCGATTAAATCACATGTATATTCAGATGTTCATATATGGCTGAGGAGTGTTATCAACTTGTTTACGTTTTTCATCATTTCAGTATTCCTCTAATAAGGATTCCAAGAAAAATGCAAATAGTGGCTGATTTGTCTTTCTTGTGAATGAAGACGTTAATGAATCAGTGAAGCAAATGATCGATCATTTGTTTCATATACAATTTTTCATATGATAATACACTCCAACTTTTTATTATTTTGTCAACCAAAGCTTAGCCAGCATATCGTATCTTTGAAGCACATATTGTACATACTCTCAAACGAAAATGTTTCATAGGTTGAATAAAGCAGGGATTGATCGAATGTTACATATTATAATTAATATTTTTACTCTAGAATTATCTTTATCAATATCAATAATAATAAAAACAATGTATTATTTTTTTTATTTCGAATCCATTGTATAACAATAAGCAACACCATCATACCATTCATTCAATGTTTTAAAATTTTCAAACTTTTAAACAAACTTCATTTAAAAAATAAAATAAACACTATTGTATTGAAGATGTGAAAAAAAAAAAAGAAGAATAGGGAGAACTTTCAAGACAGTCAATATTACGACTAAAAAAAATTTGTTGCTTCTTTGAATTTATATGTTCGTGAGAAAACATTTTTTTGTTAACTAAATATTGGCTTTGTTAAGTAAATATTGGAATCATCATAATTAGTGCATTTAGAGCTTTCCATAAATATTATTTATTTTTAATTTTTCATGGATCAATTGAATTCCGAGTGAGAAAGTTGCTTTTAAAAGATAGTAATAGATTGATATAATAATTATTGTATTTATTTAGTTATTTTTTTCAATGATTAATAAAAATAATAAATTTGTTTATATTACAAAAAAAGATTCAATGGATTTTCTGAATGCAATAAATTAATATAAGCCAGGTGTTAAAAGTATTCTTCGGCTGGCCATAACTTAGAAGCCGGTGGTTTTGCTTGGAGTCCGGAATTTTTTATGATGTTGTTCAATTTTGTAATCTAGTTTTCCAAGAGCAAATTTTTCTTTTCCGCCTCGTCATTTGATTGCTTTGTAATCGGTGATTGTCATCGATGCTAACAGTTCCTACATGAGAAAACTAGATGAGCATATATATAAACGATGAAATGCAACCAACCTAAATTTTGAGCTTATTTTTAAATTTGTGATATTTCGCCACGGGTAATTGGATATCAAACTCAGAGAGTTCCTTACCATAATAATATTATTATAATTATATATTAATATTAAAATATAAATCCCGCATAATAATATTATATGAAATTCATATCAAATTGTTCATCTTGATCTGATATCTGTTTGTATTTTGGACGAATATAGAAAAATATGATTCTATAAAACTTGAAGAAACAAAATCCGGTATATATAATTTAGAAATTGGCTTTAACACTTGTTTGGAAAAAAGTCTACCACTTTTAACAAACAGTACCAAGCAAAAGTTGATCAAAAATTAACACGGAAAAGGTGTTTGTTCAAAACTCGAACATTAAACGTCAGTTTGAACAAGATGCGACGTGACTTGTCTCCTTTTTTTCAACAGGTCAACCTACGAGTTGGCCCAGGTTGTTCAGAGTTCTATATAGACACTTTTTCGTGATATAAAAAAATTTATAAATCTCCCATTGACTATTAACAGTTGAAATAGTTTTTGTGTCATATCATGTACAACAACTATCATTACGCTACATAATAATAATTTTTACTTTTTTTTTTGTTATTTTCACAATTAGAATCTATTGATAGACGATTTGGATGAGAGGTGAAAAGTATGTGTATATGTGTATATGTTATGGTATGTATGCATATATTATAAATCAATAGAATTGTTTACCAATATTTTACTAAATCAAGTTCCCTATCTAGATGCATGTTTAAACCTGTTTCAGCATTTACATTGCCACCATCTTCTTTCGATTCCCCCTCTACTTCTTCTTCTTCAACATCTTAATTTGTTAAAGCATTTGGACATTTTCTAATTTTTCAACAAATGGGTCAAAATTTTTGAAATCCCTTTCTTGTAATAATCTTTACAGTATTTGCGCTTTTTTCTAAGATATTGATACTCATGGTCACATATAAGTAAGTACTCCTTTCATCATTTTCAAAAGGTCTTTTACATTTATTACATAATTTACAAATTATGTATTTATTATTTCTTTCATAATTCATAATTTTTTATAAAAATTTTGCACCTTTTTATCAATTAAAAAAATATTAAACAAATAAAACAGGCAGGTGGAGCAAATGAACGTATCACGTTACACTCGCATCAGTATTGTTCCGCAGTTACGCGACGAATTTATATATTAAGATACACCGATTGGACAGATAGATATGGCATTTTGGTGATGTTCCTCTATCAATAAATATCAACGGTGCTTTTGTATTAATCGTAATTCTGAGATCCATATAATAACAAAATATTAATAATCTTATTCATATTTTCCATTCAATAAATTATGGAATTGATTTCTGATTTTCGTTATTAGCAAAATATATACATTATTATTAATAGTTATTTGTAATAATGACATTACTATCAGATGTTACATTTTTATAAACATCATTATTATAATCAACTAGAAAAGTATCAATCAGATTGAAATTGAATAAAACCAGTACAACCAAGTCAATGCCAAAGTGAAAATAAGATTTTAAGCTTAGCATGAATTTATATCTTTGGATTGATTACAGGAATAAAATAAGTTTATTTCGTATCACTAAAATTTATCATTATTTTATAATAAAATGAAATTGATAGAGGGAGCATATATATAAATTGTAGCTTTCATATTTATAATCTAAATTAATAATAATAATAATATAGCTAATGATGATGATAATAGAATCCTTACTACCATCAGATCTAAATTATAAAAAAATTTCTATCAGCACAAAAAATATAACCATCCACCAGGCAGAGATTTAATACCAAGCACAATGTACAAATTCACAAGTTTAAAATAGCAAAAGCAAAAAACAGCCAAATGAAAAATAACTACACAACAATTAAAATTCCTATAAAATAATAAAAATAATTTTAAATATATTATTATTTAATAAAATTAATTAAAAAAAAAAATACTCACCCAATCTGCATCTATGTCCAATGCCCACTGGAACTTTTCGCGGAGGGTTTGTTGAAAATTTTAGTGATCAGCACATCATATTTTTTGCACCATGCAACAGAGATCCGTGGGTCTAGGTAATGGATTTTTGATGTGCCTAATGCAGTTGACTTGTTGTCCTCTTTATCTTGTTTTAATAACTTGGTGGTTTTAATATGTTCTGTCAATTTTTCTATTTGGATCTGGAGTTTTTCACTTGTTTGTCCTTTTCTTGGACTGACCTTTCCAGATTTTTGTTCATTCTTCAACACCTTCTCTTTTTCATCAATGTTTTTTAATAATTGTTTAAGATTCTCATCAGGTTTAGGTGACTTTCCTTCTCCTGTAAGCTTTTCATTATCTCTTTCAAATTTTTTTACAGCTGCCAAACGTTCCCTTTCCATCAATTGCTTCTCATGCTCAATTATCCATTCCTCTTCCATATCTGATTCTGGTTCAAATAATTGAGGCTTGCTCTTTTTTAACCTGGGGTCAAGATTCAACAATTCCATTTTACATCTATTTCTTTGGTATTTCAAAGCACAAACCTAACGTATTAAAGAATACATATATGTGAATTTATTTAAGAAATTAACAATAATCATGATAAAAAAAAAATACCTTATTGTCAATTCTATTGATTTGATTATCATGATCTTTGCTGACAGAATGTTGATGGTTACATAAAATAGCAACCTGTCTGTTTGCTTTATTATATGCTGCTATTTTCTCCTTTATAGTAGTAGCATTCTCCATCCCTTTCTTTAGCTCAATTTGGAAGGTACAAGATGCATTGTATGTACGAAATACTTTGATGGTTAGTCCTTTCATGTATTCAGACAAATGTTCATTCAAATCTTGAGCCTAAATAAATTTTTAAAGAAAATTTGAATTTATTAATAGAACAAACACAAATGCACACACATATATGTGATTGATTAAATTTAAATC